ACATCCAGACTTATGCTCCTACTCCTTCGGCACGGGCTCCTGCTCCGGCGTCCGCTTAGACATCGACGGGATATGGTCAATGGGCGGGCTATTGGCAGCAAACACTCGATAGGTGTGTGGCTTTTGTAGAGAGAGTTGAGGCAAAAGAGGCGAAAGAACGTGAGGGCGCGGAAAAGGGGAAAAAGACGAAAAGAGGAGCAAAAAGAGAGGAGGATTTTGAAGCTAGAATTGGAGTTTTTTTTTTAACATGGGATGCTGAACCCGGTTCCCAGCACGTGCTGCTGCCCACGAATAGATTGAAGCATTTGGTCTCCCCCCCCCCCCCCAAAAAAAAAAGACTGTAGAGCAAATTGGCAACCATGTATGATGCCCGCTTTACCAGCGGGAGGCAGGTCACTGGCAACAACGACTGGACAGGCGAGTGGCACGAGTGGTCAGAAAAAGGAGTTACGCTCCACTCTCAACTACTCTCCAAGGTCTGACATCTTTTCAAGAGTGATGGAACGAGGCTTACAGTCTTGAAACCTGTTTAAATTCCACTGCAAGGGGCTGTGGATGTCCGCCCTATGAATATTCTATTTATATGAATTTTAGATATTATTGAAGTTTACTTAAACTGACTATTCACTACCTCTTAGCCTGCCACAGGCTGCCAGTAAATTTAAGAAAACTCAGAATATTCTAGGAATATAAAATCAACAAATAATAATTCATATGAATTCATTATAATGTTGTTGATACTATCTACGGAATTCAATCAAATTGATTTGTCCATGAAGAAAAATTAGCAAAAAGGTTACAGAACCACCATAGTAAATTCAATAAAGTATTTTGAATTCAAAAAAGAAAAAATGCGTTAAGAAAGGGTGGTAGTAGGTAAAAATTTAGGAATTGACGCCAATGTTTTTGATGATTACAACATATTCTATCATATATAATCATATATAATCAATATACAATAATATGTATACTACAATTACACAACAAATCAAATGAAAGTACTTGAGCTGCCACAAAGTTGGTCCAGCCAATGCTGGTCGTTGTGCGATGGAGCACATTGGGTGTCCATGTAACCACGCCCACACTACATTTGCGGGGGAGTGGGAGGCCCGTGGAGGGGCGGGGGTGGAGTAGAGCGCCCGCACGAGCTTGTGGGTTCAGGTCGTAATCGTCCGATCCGAACTGCTCCATATGTCGCATCAACGGTGGAGGTTGGAGGCTCGAGGGTGGATGGCTGGTTACTGGAGAAACCCAGTTGGACACATGTCAGAACCCTCTGCAGCTGATCACCGTACACAGCAGCAGCTTACCGCATTTTCAACGACAAATCCCAGTCCCCCGCTGAAACACAGCTTTGTTTGGAAAGGTAGAGTCGGTCAGTCCCTATACAGTTATTGATTCCCTATCAACAAATATGTCAGCGCTATGTACTCATTACCGTATGATAGGTATCCCTGCGACCGACTATATATCTTCATAACCTGTGACTATATACATCGTCAAACAGACCGGCCTGGTAAACCGTAGGCAGAGAGGGAGAAGAGGACAACAAAACTTTTATATGCTAACCACATTTACATGGTCCCCAGTGCTCCCCACCATCATTGCAGCCGCAACAATAATTAAGGACCTCGCATTAAAAAAAAAAAAAAAAAAAAAAAGAGGACCCCTTCCCCCTCGGCCCCCCCGGCCCCCCAAATTGCACAAATTGATGTGGCACTGGACACACAACTCCAGAGATGGAACGTCGAACATATTAATGAAGGAGGGGGGGGGGGCTCTCTATCCCCTCCCTGATCATCCCCCCCCCCCCCCCCCCCCCCCCCCCCCCCAAAAAAAAAAAATTAAAAAAAATTCAAGGCACTCTTACAGTACACAACAAACCCTCCGTCGACCTATCTACAACAACACAGATACTGCGCTCAGTGCGCTGAGCACCCATGGATTCAATCCTATTACGCCCCCCCCCCTCCTCCCTCTCTCCCCCAGAATCCCCCTGTAATGAAGCCTGCAGATTCTCAGTGGACTGTACATTGGGCCGAGGGCGAAGCTTGGGGCTCGCCACGGTCGGGTCGGGTCGGGTCTTAGGTTAGATTCGTAATTTTGTTTGGCTGAGGGCTAAACGCGACAGCTGACTGTGAGGAAATTCGTGAGGGACATATCTGCAAATTTGGGAAAATTATAGGCCCGCACTAACCGAATTCCCTACAGCTACGCTAACTGCATATAGCAGGCCCGGGCTACCCCTAGGACAGACAGGCCCTAAGGGGCCTAAGCTGATAGACAGTTCTATAGCCCATAGCCGGGTTGGGAGAGGCCCTAGGGCCGAAACAGAAACGGTACCGGTTGGTCAGTCAGTCCGGTCTAGGTCGAGTCTAGGCTAGAGTAGACTATAGATAGGTTAGGCAGATCGGTTCAGGGTTTTTGGCAGTTGGTACCGAGTGCATCGCTGCTGTACAACGTGTGAACTAAAAGTGGTGACGGCTCAGCGTTGAGGGAGACAGACATAGCCAGACCTTCTGAGTGCCGGCCATAGCTGGGACCTGCACTGTACTCTGTCAGCACGCAGGGCTGTCAGAGGTCTGGGCTATTCGAGGTCTGCTGGAGGCGAGAGAAGTTGGTGCCCTGCTCGACCCTCCTCCGGAGTGGGGTCACAGGGTTGTGGCGCTGCAGCCATAGCTGCAGCTTCTTCCTCAGAGGTCATCTTGTCAGGATTTGGTGGCGCTGCTGCAGACTTCCACCCGGGAAGTCTACCGACACTTCGTCATCCTCGGATACTGTGGCGCTGGTCTTCTTCTTCATCGTCTGAGTGGCGCTTGGCCTCAGAGGCCTGTTTCAGGGTGGTGCTTCCCTTTGGAGGCTGTATCTGGATGGCGCTTGATGTTTCAGGGACTCGGGTAGTGATAGCGGTTCATCAGGGTTGGGGAGTGAAGCGCTGCTCATCTTTGAGCAGCACATCATAGTTCTGAGGTTATTCTGACAATTCGAGACTCTGAGTATAATAAACAGTGTGGATACTGGGTTTGGACTATCACTGCTTCATTGTTCTTGGATGTGATCTACTCGGCTTTCCTTTACGACTGGTTGTGAGGTTTGAGTGGAGTGAATTGCACTTTCAATGTACCCTGTCATATCGCGTGGTTAAGTCTTCCGCTGTGTTTATCTCTCCCTGTGCGGTGTGATACTCCTATCCTCTCCCCTTCCTTCTGTGTATGGCATACTTGGAAGTCTATGTGAGTGAGTGTTGGTCTTCAGACAACAAACAACCAGAATCATAACACCCCTTTCCTGCTCTAATCCATCTGTATTTAACGTCTCTGCTCACTCACCATACATCTTGCAAAAGATATATATGATTTTTTTTCCCTTCTTCTGTTGACTGCTAACACATGGTAAAATCATCTCTCTCTCTCTCTCTCTCTCTCTCTCTCTCTCTCTCTCTCTCTCTCTCTCTCTCTCTCTCTCTCTCTCTAGCACAGTTATGATTCTTTAAATTTCTTTTCCACCATGTACGCTTTTCCCCCCCCTTGATTTCTGATGCCTTTTTTTAAAGGTAATATATGATATCACTGTAAAAATAATGAAAGCAGAGTTAGCAAACCCAATCCCCAACACAGTCCACCCACACACATTTGCTTCTTCAAAGATCAGACAAGAAAATTTCAACTAGGGAAATAAACGATGGCGTTCCTACAGCAAAGAAGATCTTTTTTTTTTCCATCACCCCAATGAAATCCACACGCATATGGAACAAGCAAGCAGGAGTATCATCTCATTCTGACTGTTGTGTGTACGCATCAGGGCCATTAGCATGCAGCCC